GACTAGGTGCGTTCTACATGGTCTCCCTGAAAACAAGACCAAGTTGCGACAACGAGGTCAACCCACTCCTCAGGTCTGTCCACATCATTGTGGTAAAAACCCCATTAGCCGTGCTTAACGTGCCTTAACCGACCTGGGAAGACAAATCGAAACTGTTAAGACTCAGACGGTGCATTCGGTAGTTTGGTCGCAGTCTACATTTACAGTATGACGGTGATTTAGCTTCACTTTCCTAACTTGATCATGTTACCAGGGCAACTTAGATGGATGCAACTATGGGCTGCACTATCAGTCCTTACAATGTCTTGAGTTGTTTAGGCTGACTGAATTCGGATTCTATAAAAACTGTTAATCCTGAAGCATAACCGCCATAAGAGTTAAAGTTGCGACCAAAAAAAATCACTCCACTTCTGTGGTTTTGTAATCTGAGATGTGTGCGTACGGACTTAAATCTTATTATCTTAACTAGAATTATATTGGGCTGACACAATCTCATGATACTTTTTCTTGGGTTATTAGGCTTTAATATCCCAAGCCTGGCATCAGGCTCTTTTGTAACTTCGTTGAATTTTGGTAGATATTAATTTATCTGACCTACATCCGTACACATGTCAACACACACACACACATGCACACATGCATATTGGCACGCCTAAGTATATTTACCCCGATTAATATTAAAAGGCAATACCAAATAATTCTGTACCTTTAAATTTTTATACTACTTCTATTTTTACTTATGAGTATATTAAAAATGTGGTCTTATTGACATTATGTTAACTTGAGGTATTTCGAGAAGGCGTTCCATTTCTGACAATGCCTGTTAAGTAGCATGACGAACAAAATCTCCGCCAATTTTCGTCCGAAATGAGGGAGGATATCTCGTTGACTCCGTCAATCTGAAAGTCGTCGACCCACAAGTCTATTCATCTTGTACATTCACACGCAATGAGAGTCTATAGAACACATTTATTAAAGGTTAATCTTAGTATATGCAAGAAATATTGCTATTTTCTCAGCCCGTTCCTCACAACGAATATGTAAAGTTTATGGTTCACGCTCCCAATAGCCTCACTCAACTGCCACCTCTTAAACATGTCAGGTCAGCAGATTTCGGCTAGTCCGGCCTCTAGAACGAGGCCAAATTAGGCAAATGTAGAAGCAATCTGCTTGTGTCTTCTCTGGCAGGCTCTTCCCCAGAAGAATG